GAATATACATTGCACGAAGCAACCTCAGATGCTTTTGGCTCCAGAGGAGAAGATGGCGGGCGAGTTGCGACATGCAATGGGAGCATAGACCCTCTTGATGATGTACGCAACGGTTTGCAGTGTTGTCCTCTTATGAAACAATCAGAGCGGCGTTACTCCAGGACGGTTATGATGGGACAATGGGGCCTGCCACAATCGGGAAATCTCTTCATGCACTTCCAGGAAGAATGGCACTGGCACTTGGGCACTGATGGTCAGTGTGTGCAGCCCTGATAAACTAATCATCTGACCTCAAGGACACGTTGGAGGTATCCAAATTGGGCAGTGCAACCAAGTCCTCATCCCAGAGGACACTAGCCCACCATCCGATGCAGCGATCGACATCTGATCCTCTGCCGGAGCCCTGAATTAAACGCTAGGTCCCTTGAGAAGGACAAGCAATCTCCCCCAGAAGCTCCACAGTTTGCAATGCGCGTAGAGGACTAAGGGGGCTGTGGAGATTGACTCTGCAGCTTGGGCATCACTGTGATCCTCAGGTCACCCTGGCTATTCCCCAAAGTAGCCCTGTTCTGAACACCAGAAGAGGAACTAGATCGGGGCAGAACAGAGGGGACTCTACCTCTTTGCAGGCAATCGAGTCTTGACCGCAGCATCACAATGGTCATCTTCCTGCAGTGGGTGCATTACTCAACCAAAAACACTACCTCAGCATGCTTTAATCCCAAACATGTGAGGCAGTGACCGTGACTGTCAGATGGAGCCAGGTAACAACCGCATCGGGAAACACACAGATGGAATGACAGACATCTTTAAAAAGAGACAGTGTCACACCCATACTGCTCTTTTTGGGAAATTGCTCTTTTTAAAGAGCTGAAGCGTACAGGGGACCTGGCCACCACACAGACTAAGCAGGAATTTAAAGTGCAGCCTGCGGCTGTGATTAAGAAATACTCTTTTAGATAGAAAATGTGCCCTCTTTTAAGCGAACACCGCTGCAGCACCGTCACACCAACACCAATGAAGTGCTTCCCAGATTCGTATATACTTAAACTATGATTAGAGCTGAGGTGAAATGCTCGGCTACGATGCGAAAAGGTGAATGGGCTAGATTTGCAGGCTTCCTTATATACCATCTTTGCGCGGTGTGGTTCGCAATGCAAACCACGCCTGCCAATGTGCATTGGCTCGTTTATTTACAGTCAAAGATGATTGGGCTCTCAGGCGAGATCCCAATTCATTGGTATGTTTTTCGACATGATGTCTAACATGGCACACTGAAAGGGAATGATAGCCAAGAAGAATGGTGCAGAAGCTCTAACCCTTGTTTAAGCCTAAACTTGACATTAACCACAAAAAATATCTCTCAAAATTTGATTGGTTGATTGCAATTTTGTTCCAGGAACATGTTCTACTTGGTGAGATCACGTTAGACCATAAATAAAGGTGACTTGACAGCATGTTCCACTAAGGTTTTTACAACCACAAAAGTGAAATACTTTAAATACTCACCATGTAT